TTTTTGTTAATAGTAGTAGTAGTAGTAGTGCGCACTGTTGTTACTGGTATTATTATTACTATTGCATGTGTTGGTAATAATGATAATCAGCATCATCATCATCATCGTCGTCATCATCATCATCATCGTCATCATCATCATCATCGTCGTCATCATCATCATCATCGTCGTCATCATCATCATCATCGTCGTCGTCATCATCATCATCATCATCACCATCACCATCGTCATCATTATCATCATTACTATCATCATGCTCATCACCCCATCATTATCATTGCCATCATCATCACTATCGTCATCATTATCATCATCATTACCATCATCATGATCACCACTATCACCACCACCATCATCATTTCTATCGTCATCATTATCATCATCATCATTGCTATTATTATAATTATCATTATGAATTTGTTGGTGTTATTATTATCACGATTATCACCAATACTGGTAATTGTTTTCAAAATCATTATTATAGTTATCATAATAGTGAATTATAATTGGATTTAAATGGCCTATTTTCACCCCTGAGACAATAGCTTACAAAAAAAAAAACCTACACACGTGTCCAATATATATTCATATGTATTTCCAGAGAACATTAATCCCCATAGTATTTTTATATCAGAAAAAGTATGTCTATAATGGTGTCACACATATATTTATTACTTTTGTCATAGTTGCGATTGTTGGTGCGAGAGGGAAAGAAAAAAAATGTATGAATAAATCAATGCGCAAAGAGAGAAAGAATGTCACTTAATGTCTTTTAATATGTTTATTACAGGTTATTTTACTAATAGACAACGTCATGTGATTCGTCACCAAAAGAAGAAAAATTGTTGGTATACATCGAAGTCAACAATTATCACGCACTTTAGCATTAACGTTAGATAGATAGAAAAGTCGAATGTTCATTTACTTATATATTCAAAATAATGTTTCACGTGTATTCTTACGTTTATTTGAATTGTTTTGTTGTATTGTTTGTTATCTCATTCTTCTCATGTACTCTAGCAAGGAAATGAATTTGCATATAGTCCTTCTCATTTGCAAATCACACATATATTGCAGTTTGCAGCTAACCTTGTTCTTAATCCCTTGTCAGGTATTATTGAATTCAATATAAGTTTTTTTTTAATAGAATTAAAGCTTGATCAATTCTCCATTAACGTCATGTTTGTCAATAGGTCTGTATGTGCATGAGACATTGTGTCTTCACTACATTTCGTGTATAAAAGAAAATAATAATAATAAATAAAAGATAAGAAATTTCTACGTGGAAGTGAAATTAACATTTACACATGATTCCGAATGTACCTTCTCTAGGTAATTCAAAATTCATACTAAACCAGTATATCACGTATGAGTAAAAACGTGAAGGAAGCAAAAATCACATACATGTTTTTTTTATTCTTCTTTTAACACAGCAAGCAACGCAGTGTTTGAAGTAAGAGTCACCCCAGCACGAATACAGCCGCCATTAACACCGGGCCATGATGTCACAGAGAAACTGAAGCATGACGGGCAACATATTGAAACGCTTGATATATGCGTCTTTATTCATAAGGTAAATTTCTTTCTTGCTCTCTTTTTTTGCGACCTTATATAAAATTATCCAAGTGAAGGCATTATTATTTTTATTTATTGTTGTACTTACGAGTGAATTAGCCACAAACGCAATTATTTTAATGGTGTAATTGCTGCCTGGAGTTAAGAGCCACCTCTTAGCCACTGTTGCTCGCAGGCCCACTTCGACCCAGAGTGGAGCACCTGTCAAGGCCCCATCAATGGGAGAAATAGAAATAAAAGCACTCTTTATCCTTGGCTGGCAACCCTTCTGAAGACAGTGTCTTATTAAAACACTGACCTCTCTGACTGATCTTTCCATTGTATTTATGGTAAACATCCCAGGATATGACCTTCAGTCCTGTAGAATTGACTGGGCGTGTTAAACTACTTAACAGAGAACAGAGGGTCAGAAAGAAAATGGATGCCAAGAAGGACCTCTCATAGAGCACTAGAATAATATATATATATATATATATATATAGATAGATAGATAGATAGATAGATATATGTATATATATATACACATACATGTGTGTGTATGTATGTATGTATATGTATATGTATTTGTATGTGTGTCTGTGCATGTGTGCATAAATGCGTGTATGTGTGTGTGTGTGTTGGTGTGTGTGTGTGCGTGTGCGTGCGTGCATGTGTGTGTATGTGTGCGTCTATGTGTATCAAACATATAAAGGTTTCTATTCTATTATTTTTCCATAAAACCTAGCAAAAATAAAGAGGATCCCGCGGGCCACCGAGTGCCGAGTTAGGCCACTCCCTGCCATACGATAAAACAAAAACAATCTTTTCCTCTTTTCACCTTATAGATTAAACTGAGTCACCTAATCATAAGCATGGAATAAACACCCAATCAACATTCCATCAACCTTAATAAATGAATCTGTCCGCAGCGCCACAGCCGAGAACTTCACCGTCGATAACACGGCAGAATGGACGAGCTACACGGGGCCGACCTACCGCAAGGAGGTCTTTCCCAAAAATGACACGTGTATGGTAACACTCGCTCATCCAGCTGGCCAGGAGTTACATTTTCGCTCTCTGCAATATGCATGCTGTTCCTTATCCTTTCGCATGTCGGTCAGATTCCTTCGTTTGGTGTAATTTTTCTGATGTTTTTTATTTATTTTATTATTATTATTATTGTTAATGTTATTAGTATTGTTATTATCATCATTATTATTATTATTACAGGTTATTATTATTATTATTGTTATTATTGGTATATATTATTGTTATTGTTATTATTATTATTATTATTGCTGTTATTATTATTAGTGTTGTTATTATTATTATTATTATTATTAGTAGTAGTAGTAGTGGTATTAGTATTAGTATTAGTATTATCATTATGATCACTATTATTCTTGTCATTATCACTAGTAGTAGTAGTAATAGTAGTATCTTTGTTATTGTTGTTGTTATTAGTATTGTTATTATTATTTTCCTTATAATTGTTATCATTACCATTATTTTTTCATCTTCAACCGCATTACTATTCAATTAGCAACCTAGAAGAACTAAAATCAATTCTTAAGCTTCTTTCAAACAT